ATTTTTCTTGAGTTTTAGACAATTCTAGTTGGCACATTAGAGTCACTGTAATTACAGATATATTGGATCAATAATACTTTAAAAATTCATTCCTTTTACATTTAAAGAGTGATCATTTTAACCAGTAAAGAGTTAAGAAGATGTTATCAAGGGAAATTTTGCATGCTCACATGGATTATGTGACATTTTTCCAAATAGCCCCATTTCTGTTATTTTTTTCTTCCTCTTTTACGAATACATTTAGTTCTCTTCCAGTGGTGTGAATTCATCTGGAAATCTATGACAATCAATTAAGTAAATGAGAAAACAGAATGCTTGTAATTATGACAATCAAGCTATTTGAAACCCACCCTCTTTGCTTTGATACCCATACATCCTTAAGCAAATATATTAATTAAACTGTGGGTAATTGTTATAATTAAAATCAAGCTTTATAATTTTTAAAAATCATTCAGAGAGAGAAAGGAACTATTTTAAAAATACATGCAGCTGTTGATTTTCAACATAATTTGTAATCATGACCACATTGTAATTTCTCTGCCTACATTGGGAGGAGGCAATACTTGTTGTATTCTTGGCCCATGTGATTCCTTATATATACATGCAGAGACTTTTGTTTCTGACATCTTTTACACTGTTTATCTCTCTAGATCAAAGATGGTAAGACATTTGGATAAAAAGCCAAAGAGTTAATATTTTAAACTTTTAGGTTAAGACACCAGAGCTGTAGATATATGAAAGTACTTAAGATAGAAAGTAAAGTTGCGTGTGCTTTTTGGATTGATGAATATCAAAATTTCCAGCAATCAAATACAACAGTAATTTTCATTTTTCAAAACACACCTACTACTGGAAAGAACAGACTTCCTTCTGTTGATGTAATACATTGTATAGACTGTGTTCAATCAAAGGGTCCACATATTCATTATGAAATCCTTCTCAGCTCACAGGAAGTGGGCTGGATGTAGTTCATAGACTGTGGCATTGATTGTCTCCAACTTAAATATGTACCCTTAACTTTAGCATGTGTTTGGGGGCACCTACAGTGTAGATTGCTGAGCTACATCTTCAAGTTTGTGGTACAGATAATGATTTGAATTTCTAATGTGTCTGCAAGTGAATAGGATTTTTTCTGGTCAGGGTACAAGATTCTGAGAATATTGCTCTTGGTGATGGGTCTTTTAAAATGTCACAAGGAACACAAAACTGCATGTTTTATGTTTTTATTGTTGACTTACACATTTCCGTTTATGTTTTTGCCTTTGTGAAATTGGGTGTATAAGGTGAAGAGGGGCTAATCCCAAATTTATGTTCCCTTTAGAAAGTGAAGACCCATTTAATTACATTAAAATTAATAATAATTTAAAAAAAGAAAAGAAAAAACAACAACAAGAGCCCTTTTATTTCTTAACTAGCTGTTAGTCTCTGGCTTGCAGTTAGCAATCAGGTATCAGCATTTACTCATCTGTGCTACCGAATGTTGTAATAACCTCCCATTCATAAACTCATAAAGCTATATGTGATATTCAAAAGCAGATATATGAGTGAAACATTAAATGATGTTTTTGCCTTAGATTTAACCTGTCCTGGTTAGCTAAGCAAGTCCTCAACAGAATGTCTCTCTGCAGGTGGAAATTTCAGTACACACACTTAATAGGCCAATAAAAACATTGGCTTCTCTGAAGCCAATAAGAAGTAATTGAGAAACTTGTCTTTCTAACCCAGGGGTAGTCTTTGGCTTATTCATTGGACCAAGAAAGCCTCCAAGTTGATCACTAATTTGCTTCATGCTGTTATGGGTGGGCTCTGAGTTGGTTAAACCATTGCCTGTGTTGAAATCGTTGATAGCAGGTGGGTGGGCATCAACTACTCTCATCAGTCACGTCTCCCCAAAGACAGCCATGCAAAAGAAGCAGAAAAAGATAATAGGTTGGGTTCTTCTTTTGTTTATTTGTCCCAGGAATTTAAAAAAACCAGCTTTATGAAACCGGGACCTTCCCCTTGACAGACGGGCCTGTACATTAGCATCGTGCTTTCAACCAACAGTTTACATTTCAAGAGGAAGGTAAAGAAAGTGACGAAAAGACAGCTTCATCTACTTGTCACATGTTGTAACACTGATACAAAAAAATAGTATTCTGATTAGCAGCTTGATTGGCAACCCATATAACCCTAAATAGTACTACAAACCCAGAGAGTGCACTTTAACACAGTTACTTTTGGCAAAACCATATGTACAATTTTGAAGAAATAAATACATAAATACAATCATTCATATATAACAATATTCCTAAGTGTCAGTTATCATCAGGCGCTTCTAGTAAATTATTTCTTCCATTCACAAGTTACCTGTGGCTTATAAAAAGTTTCTTCACCTTTACAGAAATGATACAATCAATCCCCGCACTGAACCCACATAATAGGAAAGGTAGAAAATGAATTCCAGACACTGTACATAAATATTCCATTGTCTTTTGTTAGAAGAAATTTGATTGAAAAAACTCCTTCCTTGACTTCTCTGTGAAGAGTGTGTTACCCCTCTGTATCTTATCACATAAGGGGTTTTGTTCTTCCATATTTAATTCAAATCAAAAGTGATCTTCATGTTTTGAATCTGGTTATTTGAAAGTACACTGTTACATTGTTGTATATTGAAGCTGCTCCAATATAAGAAGACACAAAGCCACATAAAGGAGGCACCAAAGAGAAAGCATGTTTTTTCCTCTAAGAAATAAATGAAGAAACTGTAAGATTACAGATGCTGATGTTATCCAGCACATAATGAAGAATGACGGGGAGCCAGACAGTGTTTAGAAAATAACCATTGAGTGACTTCTGGTCCACTAGTGCCATCACTATTTTGACTTCATCCTTGCAGTTCTGAAAACTGAACCCCAAGCCCTATATATCCTAGGTAAATGCTTTACCATTGAGTTGCAAGCCAGCCCCAGACTACTGCCATTAAAATGATTTTTTGTTTCTTAAAGAAATGGTAAGAATGGCTTAATAAATTACCATGACAGTAATCTGACCAGTTTCTCCTCATAGAACTAACAAAAGGAGAAAATTAGAGCTTTTCCTTGACAAATTAAACATTTTTAAACATCCAAACAAAAAACAAAAACAAACAAACAAACAAAAACAAAGAGAAAACATGCTTAAGGCTATTGAAATACTGGACAACTGGCCTTGCCTCACCAAGTTCCATGCAGAGGAAAATGTTACACATCAAGCAGATTCTAGCTGTTCGTACAATTGAAGAGAAGAGAAAAGCTCCTTTAAAATATGTACATGTAATCATTGATGTCCATTTACATGTTTATCATACGGGCACTATGTAGCATAAAAAAAAGTGAAGAAATAGTTCTTTAAGACATGATTTTCTGATTTTTGCTCCTTTTCAAGATTAGGGCTCTATGCATATTCCACACATACATACAAAACATTCATAGATGTACAGACATGGTTTTTTATAATGTGATACTCTTTGACATGAAAAGTGGCTTGGCTGAGCATCGGGTATGTGCAAGGCCATCTTAGGAGACAGAGATTGCATTCAGCTGAGTAACCGGGAGGCAAATGAGACTTTCCCAGTGATTGGAGTTCAACAACAGCTGTGTCTGGATGATGGGAGGGTGGCTCACCTTGTTCTGCTTCATTTCCTCCCAGAACACTTGACACTGAGCAGCAATCAAACTCATATTAAAGGATGGGAAGTCCTATGCCATTGAGTACCTTGGGGCTGATGAGAGAGCTAGCAGGAGATCATGTGACTGTGGGACTCCATTTCTTCCTTTTGTCTCCCTAGTGGGATGCTATTAGCTTCTAAGGGGGGTATTCCAGCCATCAAGATGCAAATCAAATAGATAAAAGGAACACTTTCTGGTGTGGGGCTTTCTTTGCATGACAACAGTGAGTTCCCTAATGAAAGGTGTGCTCAGTGCTTATTCCTCTTTGTTGAGTAGATTAGCTTTATTGTCCTAAAGAGTTTTAAGAATTCAGGGCAAATATTTCCTATGATTTAAGCTGTGAGGATGCATATGTGAAGCATATGCAAAGCTCCTCAGCAAAGCAAAGCAAACTCTTTTCAGCATCCTGGGATGCCAAGGCAACACACTGGAGTGACATATTCGCCACCAAAACCAGAGACATGGCAGAGAAATTGAGGCTTCCACAGTCAACTAATAGCCAAGGAAACATCAACATCTTGGAAGAATTAGGTACACTGATAGTTCACAGTCAATCTTTATTTTGTAAATTGTTGTGTTAAGACGATGTTACCACAACTGATGGCCATCTTTATAATTACTGTAATACTTTTAGCATTTAGCATAATGCATGATACATGGCATTACGTAGCACCTTTTAAACTAAAGATCTCAAAGTACTTATTAGCAAATGTGATTTGCTCTCACAGTATCTGTGAGGTAGATTTTTCTTTTTTTAGCCATTTTACAAGTGAGCATACAGAAATACATCAAAAGTGAGATGCCTGTTCATATGGTCCATATAAGTTTGTGGCATCTGTGGGATCTGAACTCATGCTTCCAGGTTTTTCCTTCCCTTGGATCTCAGCCACAGAACCTCCAGAACATCTCAAAACAGCTTTGCCTTATACATACTTAAATGATTCAGATATCATGAGGATATTACATTTGTTGGTAGCAGGGCCACATCTTTCAATAACACTGTTGTTACCTGTTAAAGATTTTCTTGCGTGCTTTGCTAATATGTGAGGGGGGCATTGTGCACTATTGCTAAGCTTATAGCTACTTAGAATGGATACCTAAATTTGCATTTAATCAACTGCTATGTATTGTTGCTGAGTCTCCTAAATCAACTGTTATGTATTGTTTCTGAGTCTCCTACCATCTTGTTTTCTACACATGGAGACATCCACCTGCCTGATCCAAAAACTGGAAAATGCACTTAAAGGCATTGTATGGAAGGAAACAGGTCTCCTTGGTGGCACCTTGTAATATTTGTTCTGAAAAAGAAAAAAGATGGTTTGTTTACTTAAAATAGCATTTTATGTACATCCCACCTGCTGACCAGATTTAATTCTTGGAAGCAAAGCCTAGGTGTTTTCTATACATACAGAATAATTTATTCTCAAGTTTCAATTCCCATATATTTCATCACCTTCTCCCTACCAGGGGTAAAATCAATTATTGGTAGAATCACAAATTCTGTACACATTCCACAGCAACATATGTAAAAATCCAATGTGATAATAACACACAGCATTACAAATAACATCCAGTGTGTCTTCCTGACTATGTATCTTTTGATTTTTTTTTATTAAGAGTTACTATGTAGCTTTGCAGTGATGATATGAAGACCTTAGAGTGAGTTCCCAATTCCTGACCCAGATTTTGATCTCAGAGCACAGTGCATAAATTCTAGCAATTATTTAGAGTCACTCTTGGAAACAAATGGCAATGTCTTATGACCTGAGAATGAAATCCATCCCTTCTAACTCACTCACTGTTTCTATGACTGAGCCTAATATTTTTAAATTAGTGATCCAAGAAAGGAACTAGTTTCAGGAAGCAAAACCTTTACAAAACCCCTTACCAGTCCATTTTCCCTTGGTGACACCTGTAAAATGCCAACACCTTAGTCCCCATTTCTTAGAAAAGAAACTTATTTACAGTGATAAAAACCCTAACATCTGAGATGCTTCTTGCTTGACATGTCATTCCAGATTCTGTGCATTTCTTCTGGAGAGATCTGATGGACAGTGATGACACGACGGTACCTACACAAACTGTAGGCCATTTTCCAGTGATTGAAGCCACTATTCTGGAAAGGATGTATGCCTAGCTTTCGAAGACACAGTCCCACATACACATCTTCCAGGTGAAGCAGCCTGGTATGGAGTGAGGTCTTATAAATGAGTTCAGCCACATCAGCAGAAAAGATATAGCCAGTTCCCGAACAGAATGGTGGGTAGTTGCTGTCAGGGTACAAATCCCTAGGCATATACCACTTACTGCGGACATCCCGGATTGGCCCGCCATTGATGACATAACCAGTAAAATACCTTCTTCTTGGCTTGGTAGATGGTTTCAGGAGTTTATAAATAAGGTTGTCCATGTTCACAAAAATGTCACTGTCTGTTTTCATGACATACTTGGCTTTTGAACAGAAAGTGGCCACCCATCTCATCCCCATTAAGGTTTTGAGGGTGAGGTTGTGGTAGGAGTCAATGAAGTCCTCCACTATGATGTCATGGAAGATCTGGCTCTCTTGTTCCACCATCTGGTTCAGAACAGGATCAGCATTTTTGCCCAGGAGGAACAGTGTGGCTATCTTTATCCCTTTGAAGTTGTTCTCATCTCCCCAGGTCTCCCGGATTGCCTGGCGGGCATCAAATTCCTTGTGAGTCGTGCTAATGAGGATCACAAGGAAAGGAATGTTTTTCTCACATTTGTTGGGCTCATTTATGAGAAATTCAAAAGAATGTGGGTTTATAGGTCGAGTTCTTATGTTGCCAAAGGTGAAGTTTTTCCTGGCAACTGTTAGGTGACTGAATGGCTTTGAGCCAGTATAGGAAGAAGTAGGTCGTGTTATGCTCAAGTACCAGAGAGCGCTGGCCCAGCACACAACGGTCAAAACATAAAGGCAGGAGACCTTTGAAGCCATTGTCTTGAGGACAAGTCTAGTCCATATGCTGAAGAACACGTCTTTTGGGCACTGGTTTCTTGTCCTCTTGCAAAGGCAGCATATTACACAGCAATCTAGAAATTCTGTGAGAGAAGAGCTAGTTGGTGGGTGTCCGTGGACCTTAGTCCTGTTGTGGCACCATCACATTCACTTCACTTTCTTTCCAACTTGATGGCATTTCCAAGCCTTGGAAATCTTCCTGGGAACTCTGCAAAAATCAATAAAGTACAGTTTTGTTCAGGTTTACTTAGCCATGCTCATATTCTTGAATAAATACAATAAAGGAGAAAGAATTACCAGTGATGACTAAAATAAACACGGTAGTTCATTTCCATAAGCCTTGAAAAACCCTTGACATAACCTCCTAGCTTCCCCTCTCCCAAGAACAGAAATTGCTTATGCATACTTACATTAAATACATGAATACATTAACTGTGAGCATGAGGTGGCTAGAGAGTAAACCTATAGTTGGTAATTTTCTAAGAGGAATTTCCTTCTTCAGAAGAGGCGATCACTGCACTTGGTCACTGTATTGGCTCTCAGGTCTTTCAGGGAAACTCCTATTTTTTTCTATTTGTCCAACTTTGAGCTTAACATTGCTTTGCTTTCTCAGTCCTGCATTTGGAAATATTTTGCTCTAATCACTACTCACAAACCTTTGCTAGTACCATGCTTCCTTGACAGAGACGGGAAACATTGCTTCCTGTTACTGATCTGCCACTGGGCACAGATCTTACCACATAATTCTGATTTCTCAAAGGCTTCAGAAAATAGTCTTACTCTTTGTTATGGCTGGGTATAATGTGTCTACCCAAGACACTCATTTACTGAAAGTTTGGGTCTTGGCTGATGGCACTCTTTTGGCAGATGTTAAGATGGAAAGATGGAGGAAGGAGGTCCCCCTCATCTCTGATGCCTTCCTCATTGCTCACTTCCTTTCCTTCATGAAGTGAACAGCTCCATGTCTGCATGCTCTTATCACCACATTCTTCTTTCTCACTGTTAGATATCTACTTAAACTTTAGTAGGCTTGGAGGACACTGAGTGAGACTCCTTCCTCATAATCAACAGCCAAGAAAAAAACAAAAAGACTGGAATTCCATGATTAATAACTGGTCAGAAGAATGGTACCTGAGTCTTATATCTCACTGCAGGAAGAGATTTGCCTTGCTAAACTACTTAGAATATCATTAATTTATTTAAGTCTGGCTACAGGAGTCTTAAACACTGTGCATATTGCATTGAAGGAGACTTTCTGATTAGAAACAAACATAAAAACAAAGACATATCATTGGCCTCTCCTGTAAGAGTCATCCAAATGTTCTGCCAACTACTTGAATGCTTAGGTAGAGATACTTGTTTGAAAGACTTTAGAAATGGTATAAAACCTTCCTAACATGCAAGACTGATACACTAGTCCCTCTGACCATTATCCACTGTCTCCCTTTGGACTGAGTTCTGCTCTTCTGTACACCAAATTCTACCTACCCTCTACACCATGGGTCTTGTCCAGATTCTTTCAACTTTTATCAGAAGGAGATAAAAAAAACCGAGAAGTGGGAAGCTAAGCCTCTGGAATTATAAGACAAAATAAACTTTTCTTCTTTGTGTGTTGTTCTCTGAAGTACTTTGGTTATAGTTACATGAAAATAACCAACACATAGAAACTAACTAACCATCCTGGTTGTGTTATTTCAGAGGTTTTTTATTTTTTGTTTTTAAACAGTATGATTTTCAGTTTTCAATATCCTTACATATTTCCTTGAGAAAATTACACCATGTAGTTCGTTCATTCATTCATGCACCCATTCATTCTTTTTACTTACTGATATGTGGCTATACACATTGGATGAGTATAATTCAAGGGACAATTGAGTTTAGAGTCCACAAATTCAAGGGAGTTGTGACAGAAGACAAACTGGTATTCAAATGGAGTGGTCTTTGAAACACTAATCCTTTCTAAAACTCTCATGGTTTTCTAGGGCTTGTAAACATATCCCAGTCAAAAATATGTGTCAGATTACAAGGTTCATTTACACAAAAATGTTCATTTTTCTTTAGTTTGTTTATAGATAGGTTACACTGACTGATTTTTATATGTTGACCAATCCCTACATGTCTGGGATAAAGCCTACTTGGTCATGTGGATGATGTTTCAATGGGTTCTTGGATTTTGATTGCAAGTATTTTATTGAGTATTTTTGCATCTATATTCATAAGAAAGTTGGTTTGTAATTCTCTTTTTTGATTGAATTTGTGTGTGGTTTTGGCATCAGGATGACGGTGACCTTATAAAATGCACTGGGCAATATTTCTTCTGTTTCTATTTTGTGAAATAATTTGATGAGTATTGGCATTAGCTTTTCTTTGAAAGTTTGTCAGAACTCTGTTCTGAAACTGTCTGATCATCCCATTAGATGTCAGAAACAAAACAAAATAAACAAAAAGTCTGATAAAATACAATACCCCTTCATTATAAAAAAGTCTTGTAGAGCGTATGGATACAAGGAGCATACCTCAACATAATAAAGGTAATTTACAGCAAATCTGTAGCTAACATCAAATTAAATGTACAGAAACTCAAAGCAATTCCACTAAAATCAAGAACTAGGCTGTCTATTCTTTTCATATCCACCATAGTACTTGAAGTTCTAGCTATAGTAATAAGACAACTAAAGTAGAACAAGGGGATACAAATAGGAAAGGAAGAAAGAAGTCAAATTATTGCTATTCCCAGATGAAATGATAGCATATATAAGTGACCTCAAAAAGTCTACAAGGGAACTCCTAGAGCTGGTACACATCTTCACGGAAAGGGCTAGATACAAAATTAACAAAAACAAAAACAAAACAAAACAAAAGTAGCAGTCCTTATAGACAAATGACAAATACACCAAGAAAGAAATCAGGGAAACAACACCCTTCACAACAGCTACAAATAGTATAAAATTTCTTGGAGTAAATATAACCAAGCAAACAAAAGGCTCGTATGAGGCCAGGTGGTCGTGACACTCACTTTAATCCCAGCATTTGGGAGACAGAGGCAGGTAGATCTATGTGAGTTTGAGGCCAGCCAGTGCCAGGACAGGCTCCAAAGCTACACAGAGAAACCTTGTCTTGAAAAACAAAAACAAACAAACAACAACAACAACAAAAAACCAAAAAGAAACTTGTATGATAAAAATCAAATCTTTGAAGAAAGAAATTGAAAAAATATCAAAAGAAGGACAGATCATCCATGCTTATGGATTTGCAGGATCAACATAGTTAAAATGCCATCCTACAAAAGCAATCTACAAATTCAATACAATCTCCATAAAATTTCCAGCACAATTCTCTATAGACCTTGAAAGGAAAATACTCAGGTTCATCTGGAAAAACACAAAAACCTAAGATAGCTGAACACTCTTGAACAATAAAAGAGCTTGTGGAGGTATTGCCATCCCTGATTTCAAGCTGTAGTACAGAGATATAGTAATAAAAACTGCATTGTATTGGCATAAAAACAGATACCTTGATCAATGGAATCAAACTGAAGACCTAGACATAAATCACACACCTAAAGAAATCTGTTTTTTTTTTATAAAAATCCAGAAATACACAATGGAAAAAAGGAAGTATCATCAACAAATAGTGTTAGACTAAGTGGATGTCTGCATGAGAAAAGTGCTAGTAGATTCATACCCATCACTCTACATAAAACTCAAGTACAAGTGATCAAAAGACCTCAGAATAAAACCAAATACACTGAACTTAATAGGAGAGACATGGTGGAATAGTTTGAACACACTGGCACAGGAGATAACTTCCTGAACAGAACACCAATAGCACAGGCACTACAATTAACAACGAATGTGTGGGACCTTATGAAACTGAAAAATTCTGTCAGGCAAAGGATGTGATCAATAGGACAAACTGGCAGTCTACAGAATGGAAAAGATTTTTGTTTATTTTGTTTTTGTTTTCCAAAAACAGTGCTTTTCTATATAACAGCTCTGGCTGTTCTGGAACTTGCTTCACAGACACTGCTGGCCTCAAACTCATAGTGATCTGCTTGCCTCTGCCTCCTGAGTGCTGGGATTTGAAAAGACTTTCAACAACTTCATATATGATAGAGGACTAATAGCCAAAACATATAAAGAACTCCAGAAATTATCTATCAAGAAAACAAGTAATCCAATTAAAAATGGAGAACAGTTCTAAACATAATTCTCAACAGAAGAATCTAAAATGGCTAAGAAATACTTATATGTTCAACGTTCTTAGTCATCAAAGACACGCAAATCAAAATGACTTTGAGTTTCCCTTTCACATCTGTCTGAATAGCTAAGATCAAAAACTCAAGTGACAGCTCATGCTGGTGAGGATGTAGAGTAAGGGGAACACCCCTCCATTGCTGGTGAGAGTGCAAACTTACCCAACCACTGTGGAAATCAATATAGTGGTTCCTCAGAATTTGGGAACTGATCTAACTTAAGACCCAGCTATACCACTCTTGGGTATATACCCAAAGAATGCTTGATCATACCACCTGGACACTTGCTCAACGATGTTCATAGTACCTTTATTCATAGTAACCAGAAACTGGAAATGATGTAGATGTCCCCCAACTGAAGAATGGATAAAGATGTGTTTCATTTACACAATGGAGTATTACTTAGCTTTAAAAAATGATGTCCTGAAATTTTCAGGCAGTTGGATATCGGGACTAGAAAAAAAAGTCATTCTGAATGATGTACCCCTACCCAGAAAGATAAACATGGTGTATACTTACCTTTAAGTGAACATTAGCTGTTAAGTAAATGATACCCATGCTACAATCCATAGACTCAGAAAGGCTAAGTAACAAAGAGGGCTCTAAGGGAGATACATGGATCTCCTTGGGAATAGGAACTAGAATAGATTTTCCCTGTGGATTGGGGGTGGTGGAAATGAGAACAGGAGAGATCCAGTTTGTGAGAGGAATGGATAGAGAGAGTATGTAAAGAGATGACTGAAACATGAGGACATTTGGGGAGCTGATAGGGAAGCCTAGGGTAGTAGAAAAACCTTAGGAGTCTATCATGGTGGCCCCTAACAAGGACTCCAAGTAATGAAGGATTCAGAGCCTGAATCAGTCAACTTCTGTAAACCATGATGATGGAACTGGGACACCAACCCAGACACAAAACCCTTGACCTATAATCAGTCCCACCTACAAGAGGTGCTGAGGCAATGGAGGCC